ATAATTTTTATTATATATTAATACTCATATATAAACAAATATAACATATTCCCTGACTATTATAAAGTTTATAGTATCTCTATAGTAGTTATGTAGTGTTTTCTAAGATAGTTGTATAATATCTCTATAATAGTTATATAATATTTTTATAGAGGTTATAGTGTCTTTACAATAGTAATATTTTTATAATAGTTGGTAATATCTTTATAGCATTTATAATATCTCTAGAGTATTTATAGATTTCTATAGCAGTTATATAATATTTTTAGTAGTTATTTGGTATCTTTACAGTGGTTGTAATAAGTCTACAGCATTTATGATATCTTTACAGTAGTTATATCACTAATTTGAAGAATTTTTTCTAACAAAAAATTTGAAAAACAAAAAGATAAGAGGAAATCTAAGAAAGAAGATATTTTAAAAAGAAAAATATATATGAAAACAAATATACTAAAAAGGAATCAAAATATAATATAAAACTAAAAGCTAAAGAATCTAACTAACAAATTGGTACCTGCTAACTATTATATTTATCTATATGATTCTAGTAATTATATAGAACTCTACTGATATAAAAAAAACTAAACTAAATATACTTTGATCTGTACCAAGACTTAAAAATTATATGCACATAATTTTGTTATTAGACTGCATATCTCATATTTTTTTTATTACCCCAACTTTAAATCTATATTCTATTCCAAAATATAACAAATATATCAACTCTATATGTTCTTCCAGTCTTGTCTTATATATTATATCTAAATTTTTTTATATAAAATTATAACAAAAATATATAAAATTATTTATAAACTTTAAAACCTGATAGTTTCTTTTCTTATATATTAACTTTAAATTAAATTTTATAAATAAATGTATTAAAAAAGAATAGTAAAATATATTTTAAGTCAAACTAAAATTTTGTAATTTTGATACAATTTGAAATATAATTTTGTCAAAAGAAAAAATTTAACAGTTTTAAAATAATAATTATATATAAAATTATATTCTAAACAACTTTAATTAGGAAGTCAAAAAGGTTATTCTAATAAAAAAAAATTTTATATACTAATATCAACATTTTAAGTTTTTCTATATAAAACTTTTTTTTTTGCTTAATAATCTGTCTAACCTTTTAAGCAAATTTATTTAGTATACAATTCTATATACTTTGTATTTTGCTAATTTTGTTTTTTTGAACTTTTTACTAAATGAAAAATTGTATTAAAAGTTACATGAAAAATTTTTTTAAAAAAATTTTTTAAAAAAATTTTTTAGTATAATCTTTAACACAATCTTTTACTTAGTAAAAAATTCAAAAAAACAAATTAGCAAAATATAAAATATATAGAATTATATGCTAAACAAATTTGTTTAAGAGATCAAAGCAAATTATCTAAGCAAAAAAAGTTTTATATATAAAAACTGAAAATTTTGAAATTAGTATATAGAAAACTTTTTTTTACTAAAATAATCTTTGATTTTTTAATTAGAATTGTTCAAAGTATAATTATTGTTTTAAAATTGTTAAATTTTTTTGATAAAGTTATATTTTTAAATTGTATCAAAATTGCAAAATTTTAATTCAACTTCAAAATATTTTATTCTTCTTTATTTAATATATTTATGAAAAAATGTGCTTGTCATCAGCAGTAACAAACCCCGATCACGTAAATGCATATATGCAATTATGTGATAATTCAAGATAGTATGTAATTATACATTTTAACCAATCAGCAACATGGGCAATATAATGCAGAAATAACTAATGATCTTTTTTTTTATAATAGAAATAATTGCAAAGACTTTGGCCATAGCAAAGAACCCGTAGCAAAGAAATCTACTGCAAAGAAATCTACTACAAATAAATCTACTGCAAAGAAACCTACAATAAGGACCATGGCAGGAACCACGGCAGGGACCATAGCAAGAACCATAGCAAGGACTACGGCAAAGACCATGGCAAAAATCACAGCAAGAATCATGGCAAAGACCATGGCAAAGATCACAACAAGAACCATAGCAAAGCTATAACAAAAGGCAGCATAATTATAACAATAGTGGCAACCATAATCATAACAATAACCAACCATATAATAATAAGTAACTGTAAGAATAACTACTATAAATACTACTAGCAACAAGCACGAGGGTTTAGACATACCTTTCGTAAACTATTAGCTAATGGGTTAGTAATTGAAAAAACCAAATGTCTTTCCATTATTTCTTGTTTCTTTTGTAGAATATTAGTGTAAATTAATTATTTTACTTATTTTTACAGGCTTAACAGCCACTATAATAATTGTAATAAAATGGCACTGGCTAGTAATAATAAAATAACTCAGTTTAATAACCATGAATTAATGCTTCCTAGTGATAACTATAAGGCACAACCAATAACCCAGTCTAATAATAATGATGAAGTGCAATTGATAATTCAACCTAGCAATAACAATGAAATCTAACCAAATAATGGTGAAATAACATAGTTCGATAATATATAATCAGAAAATGATATCGAAATGATATATCTGAAAGACCAAACTACTATATCTACAAAGTATAGTACTTTAAGTTTTATTTGGCTTCAAATAATCAATATAAAACTAACTTATCCTATATCTATTTTTTATCTTAACTATAGTAAACAGATCTTGGCACCGCCTTTTGTTAGACAAACATTCAACACTTGGGAGTGTGCTGATGAATATCTTAACGATTATGTCTGGCAAGAGAATTTTGTAATTATTAAACTTAGAAATGATCGAGATTCTTTGCCAAAGAAAGTTTGTAGACGACGTACTTATGCATGTGATCATCAAGACAATTATGTACCTAAAAAATCTGTAATTCTAGAGAACCAACGAAATAGTAAATCAAAACTGTCTGGGTGCTCTTGGCACGTTAATATTACCTTTTCAAAGAAAGCTGCAATTGTTAGTGTAATATCATTAAACCTTAAATACAATCACCTGCTTAATCTTATGACTAACTCATATGCTACCAAAAATCAAACACTACCCAAAGCCATCATACGAGAAATTCGCTTTTATACGACCCAAGAAAATCTTAGTGCAATAATTCAGCACAGACTTCTATCAGCCAAGTTTCCTGAGATTACGATATATTCACATGATCTAAGAATAAAACACTCTCTGCTAACATTACTATCATTAATTATAGTTGTGCATTCACTTAACAAAACAAAGAAAGAAAAAAGCTTTTTTGACTCTAAACAATAAATGCTTCAAAATAATAGTCATATTTATTGAGTTATATAGACTCAAATATTTAAGACTACTTCTATAATTATATTTTTTTTCTCACCCAACCTATATCCTCCACTATTCTCTCTAGTTCTTGCAAGTTGGTGTATAATACCCAACTATCCCACATTTGCTATATTTGTTTTGCGTAATAGGCTTTTTGCTTTTAACTTGTTCAAAGCTACTCTTAAGCCGCTTAACCAAAGATCTTCCTTTCTGTCAGCATTCAATTAGATTTTTAACTTGATTAGGATCAAAATCCTCCTTGTTATTATTGTTAATATTTGTTAGTCTTTGTTCTTCAGCAAGCCAATCATTCAAACTTTTTTTAAGATAGCAAAGGGATTCAACTCCTACCTCAACTGCAGACCGAACTACCTTCCGAGCAAGATTAAAAGTTTCTCTATAATCATGTCATTTCTGAACTGCACGGCAAACTTCAGAACTAAAAACATCATTACCACGGAACTTGGTAATCTGACGCATAGGAAAAAGTTTGGGCAAGGGAAGCAACTTTCTCTTAATTGTGCTATACCATTATTCCTTATATAGGGTTGTTCATCTAAACATAAATTCTGCATTTTTTATTTTTATACCAACGTTTAGAAATAAGTATTATATAAAAGAATGCTACACTATCAATAGAAAATATATACCAAAAATGTTGGCAAACTAAGCTATGATTAACAAGTAATATGCATATG